CAAAGGAAAAGTCTAAGTATGGGCCTAAGGATGAAGGATGGGTCTAATGAGGGATCCCAGGATGAGTCCAAGGACACGTCTAAAGATGAAGGATGGGTCTAAGGATGGGTCCAAGGATGGTGGATATGTCTAAGTACAAAGAAAAGGTCTAAGTACAGGTCAAACGATAAAGGGTGGGCCAAAGGACAAAGGCCAGGTCTAATGAGGGGTCCAGAGATGAAGGATGGGTTCAAGGGCAGGTCTAAAGATGAAGGACAGGTCTAAAGATGGGTCCAAGGATGATGGGTGGGTCTAGGTAGAGGTCAAAGGATAAAGGATGGGTCAAAGAACAAAGGATGGGCCAAAGGCCAGGTCTAAAGTCCAGGTCTAAAGGTGGGTCCAAGGATGATGGGTGGGTCTAGGTAGAGGTCAAAGGAAAAAGGATAGGCTAAAGGACAGGCCAAAGGCCAGGTCTAAAGAGGGGTCCAAGGATGAAGGATGGGTTCAAGGGGAGGCCTAAAAATGAAAGACAAGGTCTAAGGATGGGTCCAAGGATGATGGGTGGGTCTAGATAGGACAAAAGATGGGCCAAAGGATGGGTCTAAGGGTAAAGTCCACCCACCCCAGGGCAGATCCCTAAGATGCCCCTTCCAAGGGTTGGCACACACCCTTAATGAGCTGGACTTCTGTTCCCCAACTAGTGGATTTTGAGACCTCCCATTCCGAGTTAGTTTCTTTCCTGGCTCCTGGCTGATGGATAATCATTAACTATCCATGAGAGGTTCCAATGGCCCGTGGAATTCATGAAGTATTAAATGGGCATTATTTTATCAGCCACGCTCAGTGTTTTGTTTCCGTTTGAGGACCATTCCTGAGATGTTTATGGGCTGTGGATTTATGGAAGTCAGGGGATCTTTTCAGGAGTAATGTTCCATACCTCGGAGTTACGGTCGACAGCTGGAGACTCCATGCGGGAAAATTGGAGGCTGGGAGCTCCAAAAAAAAAATCAGACTTAACCCCTGCCTCAGAAGGTCTTGGCACACAGAAGTGATGGATTAAACACTGGGAATAAGATCCAAAACACAACATTCAAGGAGTTTATGAGCTGTCATCAGGAATCAAGCAGTACACGGTGGCCTTGCTCGGGAGGGGACCTGGTCGCTGCTGCTGCTGTCACAAATAAATGGTGGTGTTTGATTTTCTGTTTGTGCCAAGGTGGAAAAACCCGGGGGGAGCAGCCCCGGAGAGCAGAGCCCCCAAGGGCTCCACTCCATCAATCCCCACTCACAGCTCATGGGGAGAGAGATTTCTCCTTCTGCCAAAGTCACCCCTGGCTCCCCAGAGCCTGTTTCACCCCATCCTGAGCTGGGGAGGAGACAAAGGGACTTTGGATAAGTGACAGGACACAGGGAATGGCTTCCCACTGCCAGAGAGCAGGGATGGATGGGATATTGAGAAGGAATTGTTCCCTGGGAGGGTGGGCAGGCCCTGGCACAGGGTGCCCAGAGCAGCTGTGGCTGCCCCTGGATCCCTGGCAGTGCCCAAGGCCAGGCTGGACACTGGGGCTTGGAGCAGCCTGGGACAGTGGAAGGTGTTCCTGCCCATGGCAGGGCTGGGACAAGACAGTCATTAATGTCCCTTCTCACCCAAACAATTCCATAAATCAGCCTGAGGAATACCAACCTCTCTCCTGGGAGGGTCTCAGAAGGGTCCTTGCAGAGACCAGGCAGGATGGGGTTAAATCACCAGCCCACATTGTTGCGGTGTGTTGTCATGGTGTGCCTCAGTTTCCCTGGTCCCTCGCCTGAAGATTCCTTCCCCAGGTGTCAATCACCTCTCCTTTCTCCCATCCTGTCTCCAGCTGGGCACTGTCCATCAACCCAGAAATTCCAGGGGAGCATCGAGTGATTGGCAGGTTCAAAGGATGCTCTCCACCCCCTGGGGGGCCATTGGCCCACCCAGGTGTCCCTTTCACCTGAGACCCCCTCCCTCCCTACCTGGTTGGTGGTCCCTGTGTTCCCTTCCCCTCTCCCCTGGGTAAAAGGACGGGCACACCATGCGCTGGGGAGTCCTGGTGGAGCTGTTGCTACATTCAGGGGCCATGCGGCCCAGAATAAAAACTCTGGATTAAACTCTCTGTCAGGAACGGCTCCTTCTTCACCATCACCTTAAAAGGTTTCTCCAGCACAGGGAGGGCTGAGGAGTGACCCTCTTCTGCCTACAAGCCCCAGCCCGTAAGCACTGGAGCTCTGACGTGCCTGGACTGGTTCCCACTCACAGCTAGCCAAAAGTGTCTCTGGGGTAAAAACACCACATTTGCCGCTATTTGGTTCAGCAGCAGGGGCCAGACAAGTCAAGGCTCGTCCCATTCAATAATATTGGTAAAAAGCAATACCAAATCACTCCAGGAGATCCCACCCAGCACTTAGGATCCCCAGGAGTGTCCTCAAACTCTTGGCTCTCCATGTCCAGCCCCTCCTTCCATGCTGGAACAAGACATGGGGAACAGAAAGCCGCAATCCAAAGCAACCCAAGGGCCCAGGGGCACAACTAAAACCAGGAGGGGTTGATCAGGAAAGGTTCCAAACCTCCTCCAGGGATGAGCTCCCTCCTGCAGGAGGCACAGAGGACTTCAGGGACACTGTAAGTGTGGCATTAAAAAAAAGCCATCCTCAAATTCCATGGCCATGGCCATAAAATAACAATTAGCTGAGAAGAGCCTCAAAATATCTCAATTTTAATCCACTTTTTATCTGTGCCAGGCATTTTCCACCTCATCCAGGCTAATAAACAGCTTCCACTCCAGCAGGGCTGTGCTGGAAAAAAAGAGGGAAAAAAGAAGAAGCTGCCTCTTTAATGCACTAATTACAATCCCGAACCACTAATGGGATTAGCAGGCAGGATTTAGTGGTTGTCTCCTGCAAAATCATTAAGTGCCATTAGAGAAAATGAAGTTCCCTGCTTCTCCGAGAGGTTTGCAGGAATCCGGATCCAACCCGGCGCAGCGGCCCTTGGAGCACAACGGGGCCCTGTCAATACTGGCTCCTTCCTTGATTAATTCCCTAATGAGGAGTTGAAATTGCCCAGCACCACTGGGAAGAGAGCACTGGAGACACTGGGAGAACTGGCTGCAGTCAGGCAAAGGAATCACAGAATGGGTTGGGTTGGAAGGGACCCGAAGCTCATCCAGTGCCACCCCTGCCATGGGCAGGGATACCTTCCACTGTCCCAGGTGGCTCCAAGCCCCATCCAACCTGGCCTGGGACATTCCAGGGATCCAGGGGCAGCCACAGCTTCTCTGGCCACCCTGTGCCCAGAAGGTGGGCACATGAAGGCAGAGGGGACATCACTGTGTGATTGTGTCACCCTGTGTGACATTCCCATCTGCACGCCCTTCCCTGTTCCTTCCCTTTGCAGGGAATTCCAGGCACCCCCTCCCCACACTGGGGAATTGGTGGCCAGAAGATTTGACGGTGTCCAGCTCCACGTCAGGGTGACCACGAGTGCTGGAAGGTGTCCCTGCCCTTGGAATGACATGAGCTTTAACTCCTTCCAGCCCAAACCTTGATTCCTTTGATCCCTGCCTGACTCCATCCAGCGTCTCCAGCACTCCCTTCCCGGGAGACTCCATGCGGTGCTGCCCGGTAATTTCAGCTCAGGATCATCAGGGAATGCCCAGTGACCACCCCAGGGATCAAACAGGGCAAGCTCTGCCCTCAGTGAGACCTTCTCCAGCGGAGGGCAGAGCATGGATTTGGGGCTGGAATGCCGAGAAAAGCAGGAGGAGGGAGAGGCTGCTCCGCGGGAACGCGGGGATGCTCCCTGGGGACACGGGGCTGCTCCTGGGGACCAAACAAAGCAAACACTTCTCCAGTGCCTAAGCACCGGGAGAGGGTGGCCTTCCAGGAGGCATTTTCCAGCTGAAATGGCTTTGTTCCCAAAAGCTAAAAGCCTTTGGAGACCAAAAATTCCCAGCTCAGGGGAAAAGGAGGGCGGGTGATTACCCTCACAGCCCGGGGGACAAGTGACACCGCCATGCTGAGGCCACCAGACACATCTGCCACACCCAAACCCGCTCTGGTTCCCTCTGCCCAACAAGGGGAGTTCCAGGTCAGGCGCTGGGAGCAGCTCAGTGGATTTAACCTTTCTGTGTCCCAGCTGGAGCTGCCCAAACGTCACGGACAGGCAGGAGGGTCTGTGCTGTGCCAGAGCATCCATGCTCCCTCCACAGCCCTCAGGGGACTCTTCCCAGGATTCTGGCACGGCCTTTTTATCCTCAAGAACCCCGAATTTTGGGACGAAAAGAGCAGTTTGTCCTGGGATCCTGCTTTGGACCAGCTCCATCCCGAAACACCCTCAGGGAGAGGAGGTGATGTCCTAAAGCGGCCACGAGTCCCCTCGCCACCCCATGCCATGGCGGGAGAAAGGCTTTCCGAGCAGGGCCACCGAAAGGGGAGGAAAGGGATGGAGAGGAAATGTAGGGATGCCAGGGAATCCTTTCCCTGCACAGCAGCAGCCTCTGCCGGCAGCGGAGCCGCAGAGCAGGAGCCGCGGGGATGTGGCACAGCCTGGAGAGCGCGCTCCGAGCACCGCCAGGGACGGGAAGGATCCCGGGAGTCACCAGAACACAAACTGTCCTCTCCATGAGGATTTATAAATCCATATATCCACTTTCCAGCTGGAAGGTGATTATTCCCATCTCTCTCCGCTCCCCCACACAGTCCTCACGGCCATTCCCGTGCAGCAGCTGGAAAATCCAACCCTCCCATCCCACATGCCAGCATTGCCAGCCAGCAATCCTGGAGCCCCTGGGTGCTCCCCATCCACCCCAAAACGAGATCCCGGGGGAGCAGAACCGACAGCATCCCACAACATCCCCGCTGCAAGGAGCTGCCAAAAGGAATTTCTACAGGAAACCTTCAAACAAAACACATTATTTAGTGATAAATGTACTTTTCCCAAGGCACTGGGATGAGGTTTATCCCCCCCGACGCGCACCAGCACCCGGGGCACCACTTACTTGGGGGTGTGCGCCTCATCCACGCGGTGCCCCAGCTGGAACTCGTGGGATTTGCTCCGGTGCAGCGCCGTGAATCCCGGGATGAGGTGGATCAGCTTCCGCGACGAGGGCGGGGGCGTCCCGGGGGGCTTCAGTTTGTTCCTGCGGCGCACGGGCGGGGTCCCCGGAGGCGTCATGGTGGTGACGATGTTGGGGGTGCGCGGGGGGGTGTGCGCGGCGTGCCGCTGCCGGGGGGACGGTGGCAGGGAGCGGTGGCCGGACTCCAGGGGTGGGCACAGCCCCGGGTGGCCCTCCACGGTCAGGCGGTCCACGTGGGTGTACATGGGGCCGTGGGACGAGCTGGCGTGGCAGTGGTGCTGCCCACACTTGGGCTGGACCTTGGGGCTCAGGTGCGTCCTGCCCCAGGGGCCCGGCTCCGGGGGGCAGCCGGGGCTGTTCTCCTTGCCCGGCTCCGTGCTCGGCCACTGGATGGTCCAGTCCTGCTTGGAGAGGCTCCCGCCTGGAGAGGGCACAGAGACACGGCCATGTGGTGGGGCAGAGGGTGGGAATTCCCTGCTCAGCACCGCGGGGGTTAAAGCTCCCATCCCTGGGAGTGTTTATGGGGTGGATGGGGCTGGGAGCAGCCTGATCGAGTGGAAGGTGTCCTTGCCCAGGGAATGGGATGATCCCAAAGGTTCCTCCCAACCCAACTACTCCATGATTGATTCAATGCTGGCACTGCATCCCAGCAAGAAGCTTCTCTGTGTTATAGAATCTTGGAATGGTTTGGTCTGAGCTCTCCCTGGAGCCTTCTCCTCTCCAGGTGAGCACCACCAGCTCTCCCAGCCTGGCTCCAGAGCAGAGGGATGGGTGGCCTGAAGACCACAGAGATTCCCACAGGATCACCCAGTCCCACCCCCTGCCATGGCAGGGACACTTCCCACTGTCCCAGGCTGCTCCAAGCGCCAATGTCCAGCCTGGCCTTGGACATTCCAGGAATCCAGGGACAGCCAGAGCTGCTCTGGAGATCCCACTGTGGAGCCTCACCACTCCAAGAGAGGGATTTCTAGGGGTCGAGGTTGTCCCCATGTGTCCCCACCATCACCAGCTCCCACGGCCACCCCAGACAGTGGCACTGGCATGGATGGTGACACCCCAGGCTGATGCTCCATCTCACCCCCATAATGAGGGTGCTGTAATTAACAGAGGCTCCTCTCCACTCCTCATTATCCACCACCACCAGGAGCAAAGCAGCACCTTGGGAGCACCCCAGGGATGATCCAGGTGGAATTTGGCCCTTGATCCCAGCTCAAAGCGCCTTGACTGAGGCCTTTTGACTGCTCCCATCAAGGAAAACCCAAATCTCATTGCCCAAACCTCCTCCTTCCCCCTCCGTGGCTGGGTTGGTAACTGGATCCTCTCCCCATTTCATGGGAATGCTCCAGTTCCAGCTCCAGAGGAAAAGGGGAGGTTTGGGAAATTAAAGGTTTGGGTTGAAAGAAAGCTTCAGTCAAGGGGTGGAGGATGGGGCATGAGGAGTTTGATAGAGTCATTTTCTCAGAGTGCAACATCAAAATGAATTTTAAAAAAGGCCAAAATAATGGTAAAATATGAAAAAATGAACAGGAAAAAATTCCCAAATAATTGTAAAATATTTTTTAAATAACAATAAACAATTTCTAAATAATTCTAAAATATTTTAAAACATGTATGAACAAAAGAATAAAAAATATTTAAAATCTTTAAAATTAAAATGAATTCATTAGAATAAATAAGAAATTAAAGTCAATTAAATCTTATTGATTAAAATTTTTAGAAATTAAAATTAATTAATTAGAGTAAAATCTAATTTAAATGGTAATTAAAAGGTTTTACATTAAAGTTATTTAACTGAAATTAAAAATACATAAAAATAAATAAAGTAAAAATCATAATTTAAAACTCTAAAAATATTAATTAGAATGAATAAGAAGTACTAATAAATGAAAAGTAAGAAGTAAAAATGTTGCAAATTAAAATTATTAGAACAAATAAGAAATTAAAATAAACAAAAACTATAAATGCTTAAAAATAATTAATTAGAACAATGAATAAATAAAAATAAATAAAACTAAAAATAGGAATAAAAATATTTGCAAGATATAAATCTGAAAAATCTCAGCTATGCAAATCACCGCGTGCCTATGCAAATCCTGCTCTTCCCATTGGCCGCTTTCTTCGCCTTGGTTTGCATAACACCGAGCTGGCCCGGCGCTAATTAGCGGCGCTAATGAAGATGGGGTGAGGATCTCCCTGCGCCCCCCGAGTCCCGCTGTCCCGCGGGTCCCAGCGATGCTCCCGGGAATAAAAACAACCCCGGTCCGGGCTGAAAATAACCGGGAAAAAGTAATTCCAAACGGGAAGGCGACAGGCAGCGAGATGGGGTCAGCTTAAACCAGGAATGCGCTTCAGAGGGGAAAAAAACCCAACAAAAATATCCCAAAGCTCCTCCGGTTCCCCCGCTGCTGCTTCTGCTCTGATTCCCGCCTGGAAAACCACGCGGAGAGCTGGCAGGGAAAGTCCCCTCTCTCCCGTTTGTCCCCAGAATGGCCGCCTGATTGCTCCTCAAAACTTCGTTGTTTGGTTTGGAATCCAAATATTATATATTATAGTATATTATTTAATTTTATATATATATATAATTTATTATTATATATTATATTATACCGTATTTATTTAATATATTGTCGATATTTATTATATATTATTATATAATATATAATATATAATACAATCGTATATATTATATATGTTATATATATTTTATGTATTCTATATATTATATATACTATAATATAACATATAAAATATATTATATAATTGAATATATTTAATACATATAATATAACCCTATTTATTTAATAATAATTATAGTATTTTTTGGATATCAGCCACAGCCACCCCCCAATCCCAGGGGCCACCTCTCCTGTCCCTGTGGATGCTCCCTTTGGGTGGATTTGCCTTCATTAATCCCCTCAGATCTCTTCCTCTGCCCCATTTCATCAAGGACACTTTCCCCAAAGCACTCCATTAAAAACCGACAGGAAACCAAACTCCTGGGAAGAGGAGGCAGCTCTGGGATGCAGCTCATGGATCCAGAGATGGAAAAATTCCACCTGTCCCAAACGACAAAGAGCGAGGTTTGCTTTGTTTTCCTAAGAGAAAAGGCTGGGGATGATTCCTACGGGAGCTGGCGAGGCAGCCCTGCAGCCCAGCTGCTCTGAGCACTCCTTCCCTTCCCAAAAGCTGTTCCAAACTGGAGATTTTGGGATGCCCAGGGTTTTTTGGGAGCCCCTACAGCCCCAGCACCCACATGCCAGGAAGCAGCCTCTGGAATGGACTCTGGAATCTCCAGCTTGGCAGCACGGGGATATCAGGAAGCTCAACCCTTCCCTCCTGTCCACCACACCAGCACAGCTCCTAAATTCCCTCCAAATCGGGATTTTCCTGGTTTTCCCTCACTGCTCCTGACCCTGCCTGACCCCACGCTGTCCCCAAGCCACCCTCAGCCTTCCCAGGGCTCATCAATATTCCATTCCAGCTCATTTTTCCCAGTAGGACACTTAAAAACCTGCACACATCCCCAGCAGTCACAGCCCATCAACTCCTCCAGCCGCAGCTCCACTCGGATTTAATATTAAATTAATCCCGCTCCGAGATCAAACCCCAAAACAAAACCCCACTGCCAAGGATCTGAGGAAAACCCAATGCAGCCTTGTTCCCACCACGAAGCAGGGGGGTTAGTGTGGATTTGCCACATTCTGATTTATGGGATGTGCCGGGGTTTTCCCTGCTGCCCCCAGGATGCTCGGCTTGGGAAGTGCCTCCTTTTCCAAGCCCATCCCAGCCAAATCCATCTCCATGAAAAAGCCTCCAGCTCCCCACCCAGGCCTGGGAAATTAGAGGCTTCTAATTAACGACTCAATAAATAAAGATGGATGGGAAAGGTTAATCCTGAAGCTCATTCCTGCTTTATGAATACAAATCTTGGCGTCTTGGAAGCGGCCGCTGCGGCTCCTGCCAAGGAATTCCAGCTTTTAAGGAGGATCCAACTGGTTCATTAATTACATTTTTAGGACGAGGACAATGTATTGATTCACAAGGAGATAAAATGCAGCTAAAATACAGATTAAAAGGCATTTCTGAGGCAGTTGGTGCATCTGGGGCTCCTTTGGGGGGCTGTCGTATCCCGATGGATCTAAAACCCCAACACTGCACCCAAAGAGAGCATCACTGCCATCCCGGGATGCTTTTCTATCCCCATCCTAAAAATTCCCAGACAGTTCCTCCTTGGACTGGCCAATCTCATTGTCACAGAGCCATGGAGCCAGCCAGCAGCTCAAAATCCCTGGAATCCAGTAGATGGATGATGGATGGATAGATGGATGGATCATGGATGGATGGATGGATGGATGGATGGATGGATGGATGGATGGATGGATGGATGGATGGATGGATGGATGGATGGATGGATGGATGGATGGATGGATGGATGGATGGATGGATGGATAAAAGAAGCACAGCACCCCTGTAGCGACCCCCGAGCCACAACCCCATCACTGCTCATCCCAACAGCCCAGGGGAACATTCCCAAGGTCCCAGCAGTGCTGCTCTGCCCATCCCAATCCCACATCCCACCAAAATACGCTGCCTGGAGTGTAGGGAATCTGGACCTGGGTGGAATGATCAGCTCCCATTACCCACTCTCAGCCCAGGGCATTCAGGGAGCATCCCGTCCTTCCCTGGCCAGAAATCCCACTGTTCCCAACTCCAGGGAGGGAGTTCCCCTCTCCAGCAGGAGAGGGGCAGGGACTCATGCTCATGCTCTCCCAGGAGATGAAGAGGGGGAATTACTGGGATGGAGCCATTTGCTTGGCAGGGGCAGGGAACAGGAAGCCCATCTGGCATCACAGGAGAAGCTTCCCACACCCAAATCCTCGAGAAATTCAGGGAGATTTGGTCTCCTCCACTGCCTGGGAAGCTCCTGCACCCCTCAGGGCTCTGCCTGTCACCTCCGTGTCCCCAAGGTTATGTCATCCATGGGACAATGCATCTCCAGCACGGCACGGAGCCACAGCAGCTGGAATTTCCAAGGATCCTGATCCAGCTCTGGCAGGGCAGGAGTGGCCACAGCAGCATCCCAGCAATGCCAGAGGGACAGAGCAGCCGCTCCCGCTGGGAGAAGCAGGGTGATGGATGGAGTTAAATGGGAAAGACAAACACTCCCTGCCTGGCTGGCTCCCTCCTGCCGGGATCCAATGGACCACCAGGAATGCTGGCAGACCTATCAGCTGCCCCATTAGGGAGCAAATGGAGCAGCAGCATCCCACAGACCTCCGGTGCTTCCATCTCCTTCTCCTTCCATCTCCTCCTGTGTCCTGGATTGCCAAGCAAATTGTGTTCTATTTGCCATCTGTATGGCAGTTGTCTTCTGTTAATTGGGCAGTTTTCCTTATCTCTTCCACAACCACTCCTCCCTCCAGGGAGACATCTCTTGATAACAGGCTATGGAATGTCCCTGCATGGCTGATAAGAACTACAGCACTCACAGGGAGATGATCCACCCAGAGGGAGGAGCCAAGCATTCCTACCTGGATAGAATCTGAGATCCTGGCACAGCAAGACAGCTTCTCCACTGGATTTCCCAGAGGAACAGCTGCCTCTTCCACAGGATCTTCAAAGGAAGACTACACCCCTCTACAGGATCTCCGCTCCAGCAGAACCACCCCTGACACCCCAGGAGGAATGCAGCCACAATTCCAATTGGATGCTACCAGCACCCTGACCAACAGGGTGTGAGGTCATGTTCTGACTCTGTCCGTGTTGTTTAGGTTTACTGCATTGTTTATTTTATCTTTTTAATTTTTTCCCTAATAAAGAACTGTTATTCCTGCTCCCATATTTTTGCCTGAGGTTTGCAAGGGGTTTACATTTTCCATTTCAGAGGAGGCTCCTGCCTTCCTTTGCAGACACCTGTCTTTCCAAACCAAGACATCCTCCTTCCATCTCTTCCAGCCAGAAAACTCCAGAGGAACCAGAGAAACTTCCTGCAGCTGCTGAGCCAAAGGCCAAAGTGGATTTTCCAAAGCAGGGAATTCCATGGGTCAAGCGGGCAGAGGAAGGAGTGGGATTTGTTTGGAGCAGCTTTAAAAGTCAGAGGTGTTTGAACAAAGAGCAGCTGAGAACCTTCCTGGGGCTCCCAGGGAGGCACCACTGCCCTTCCTCAAATAGCAGGGAGACCTCATGGAAATGCCAAGGGGAAGGGAGGCAGGAGCTGGGTTTAGGGAGCTGGACGGGGGGATGCTCCCTAGGGAATGGCAGGCTGGGCTCAGACAGCCCCACCTCAGCTCAGTGCCACTGTCCCCAGCACGGGGTGGCACTGCCACTCTGTGCCAGGTGGGAGGCCTGGAGAGGATCCAACAACCAGAACTGGTGGATTTGGCCAGGGTCTCTCTAGGCTGGAGCTGGGATCCCTCTCTGGGACATTCCATGATCTGGGGACACTGCTGGTCCTCCAAAGCTGCCCCTCCTTGTCCCCTGCTGTCCCCAAGGGCTGCTCCACACCTGCAAAGCCCAGCAGAGCTCATTCCCAGCCTCCCAAACCCTGGGGTGCAGCTGTGCTGGAGGAGCTCCTCTAGAGGGGACAGGAGCCAGGCAGAGGGGTCTTGGGTCCCCAAATCACAGGGGTTTGCTGCTTCCCCACAGTCACTCCTGTGCTGGCAGTGGCCTTCCCAAGCTGGCACCTCAGCATCAGTTCTGTGCTGCCATCCATGGGGATGGGCTGTGCCAGAGGGGCTGGAGCATGTCCAGGGAAGGGAACAGAGCTGGGAAGGGGCTGCAGCCCCAGGAGAGGCTGAGGGAGCTGGAAAGGGGCTCAGCCTGGAGAAAAGGAGCCTCAGGGGGGACCTTGTGGCTCTGCACAGCTCCTGACAGGAGGGGACAGCCGGGGGGGTCGGGCTGTGCTCCAGGGAACAGGGACAGGAGCAGAGGGAACGGCCTCAGGCTGGGTCAGGGGAGGCTCAGGGTGGAATTTGGGTAAATTCCTTCACTGAAAGGTGGCACAGCTGCTCAGGGCAGTGCTGGACTCTCCATCCCTGTAAGGATTTAAGGATTAAGCCGTGTGGATGTGGCACCTGGAGACATGGGGCAGCGCTGGCCTTGGCAGTGCTGGGGTTTGGCTGGGCTCGCTCCTAAAGGATCTTTTCCAGCGCGAACGGTTCTGTTGTGACCCATCGAGGCTCGGCTGGGACACGGTGCCAGCACAGCCGGACCCTGCCCAGCCCCTGCCGCACACCCTGTCCCTCCCCGGGCCGAGGCGGCCCCGGCCCCGCTCTGCCCCCGGTGCCGGAGCAGCTGCAGCCGGAGCGGCTCCGGGCAGCGATTGAAGAGCGGAGCTCTGCTGCCACCGCCCGGGGAGCCGGCAGCCCGCACCGCACAGCACCGGGAACCGCGCATCCAGCACCGGGAAGGGCGGGCGGGGCTGGTGCATTCCCTGGGAAGGGGTCTGGGAATGGGGGCTCCACTCCAAGCCAACCGGGAAGCGATGCTGGAGCTGCCCTGAGCTTTCCCCTGAAGCTCCTGACCGAGCTCCTACAGGCACGGGGGGTCAGGGGACCCTGGAAGATTCATGGAATGGGCTGGATTTGTAGGCGCCCTCATCCAGTGCCACCCCTGCCCTGGGCAGGGACACCTCCCACTGTCCCAGGCTGCTCCAAGCCCCAGTGTCCAAAGGGTTTTGGGTTCCCAGCTCTCACCCACCAGCACCCCCAAATCCTTTTCCCAGCACAGCCCCAAGGTGTTCCCTGCAGGAAATGATTCCCAGCCAGCCCCAGGGATGCAGGAGCTCTGCTAACATTGAAGCCACACTGCCGTGCCAGCAGACCAGGAGGGTGGCACCCAGCCTGGGCAGCCCCAGGGGACAGAGGGCACTCACCGGACTTGTGGACGCTGCGGAGGCAGGACAGGGACGCGTTCAGCCGGGCACACTCCTCTCTGTTGGCCCCAAACTTCTCCACAGTGGCACAGACCTGGTCATCGGTCATGTCCAGCAGATCCTCCAGGCTGAGCTGCCCAGGGGCGATCTCCTGAGGGAGAAGTGGGTCAGGAATGAGGGAGGAGGAACAAACCCTCTGGAGCATCCTCTGCATCTCGGGGAACACCAGGGAGAATCCATTCTCTTCAGGCCATAGACCCAAACCCTTCCTTTTTCCTCCTGAATCTCCAAGAAAACCTGGAGGAACTCAAGTTTTATCTCCAGTTTTTCTAGTTTCAGGTATATCTAGACCCAGCTCAGCCTCTGGGAGCACCAGAAAAACCCATCCCTGACTGGGAACATGCAGCACCTGAGCTTCATTCCAGAATTCCCTTTTTCCTGGAGGTGGGATTGCCTTTGGGTGCCACCCCCTCACTGCAGGAGCCTGGAATGTGGCAGCAGGACACTGATGGGGACATGGGGGATGTCCCCAGTGCAGAGGGGTTTGAGTGACACCCACTGGGGACAGCAGAGGGGTGTCCTTGCTGCTGGGTGGGAGGAAAGGGAAAGGGAAAGGGAAAGGGAAAGGGAAAGGGAAAGGGAAAGGGAAAGGGAAAGGGAAAGGGAAAGGGAAAGCCCCCTCCCTTTTCCAGGTGGGAATGGCCAGCCCTTACCTCCATCACCTCCTTCCGGATGTCGACGATGCGGAACCAGTGCAGGAGCTGGGGGAAGCCCTCCAGTTTGGCATTGCGCTCCTGCAGGGCCACCTTCCTCTTGCAGGACAGCTGCCGGCTGAAATACTTCACCAGTTTGCTCTGGAAAAGAAGGGGAAACCCTCATGGTTTCCCACTGGCAGCTGGGGCTCAGCTCTCGCTCTGCCCCATCCCAAGGCTCAAAAATCTGCCCCAAAACACTCCTGCAGCCAAGAGTGTCGAGGTTTGGTGTCCAAGAGGGAATTTCCCTCCCAAAAAATCACTTTATCAACTCCTTCATCCCCAAAGCAGTGCTGAGTCTCGTTCAGGGGGTGGGCAGCCCTTGGCATGCCCTAGAGGGTCTGAGGGGGACAGGGGGCAGGCACCACTTTTCCCACAAATGCTGCCCCTTCCCAGTGTTGCCTAGCCACCCACAGGACACTTTTCCCACTTCTACTCCCAGTCTCAGGGCCCAGGGACCCCTAAAGGACACAGTCCCCTCTCTTACACCCTGGTTTGATGCCAAGAACCCCTCAAACATCCCTCAAAAGCCACACTCCTCTCTTTTACCCACTCCCCGCAAACCCCTACAAGGGGAGCAGCCACAGCATCAGATCCCAAGGCTGGAAATGTGGCATTTTCTCTTCATTCCCCCCTCACCAACCCAAATCCTCTCTCCAGAGCCATCCTCCCTCTCTGCTCCTTTGTAGCCCCATCCCTGCTCGCATCATCCCCCAAATCCTCCTACCCCGAGGCCGGAGCCGTTCCCAGCCGCAGCCCAGCTCCCAAAATAAAGCTGCCCTCCTTTCCCGGGAATATAGAGCAGGGCTGAAAACTGCTGGGATTTCCTGCTCCTGCTTTTCCAGCTGGGTGATTCCCAGGCGCCTGCAGCACTAGATGGTGCTGTGCCGCTGCTCCTGCACACCCCAAAAACAGCCGGGTGAAATACGGGTTGCTTTGGGATACAGAGATGAGGGGAGAACCACCCTGTGGGATGTGGGAGTTTTCCCATCTCTCCTGGTCTTTTCCCTCGTGGGACCCACTGGTGATGCCCACAGGGGTTGGCATCACCCCCCAGGCGGGTGAGGGCCCTGCCAGGAGCTGGGGACAGAGTGTCACCCCCTGGATGCTTCTCCCCATCCTTAGCCTGGCTACCAGAGATTAATTTCTGAAAATCAACCCCCAAAAATGAGGCAAAGCCAGACCTGAGGGTCTGCAGGGAGCCCTCAGCTCTGCAGAGCCCTGCCCCACTTCCAGGGCTGATTTTTAAGGAAAAACATTCCCAAAACAGACAATCAAAGGTTCAAGGATCAGCCTGGATCTTGCATCCCAAACACACTCCAGGCTTTTGGAGCTGAAGCAGCCCCAGGCACTTTGAATACACCCAGAGGCAGCTCCTGTCTCCCAAAAAATGCCGTTGCATGGGCACGACTGCAGGAAAACACCAGGAAAAGAAATTCCTAAAAGATTCATATCCTGCCTCCAGCCTGTTCTCTGTTCTGCCTCTCCAGGTGGGATCCCAAAGGGAATAAAGGTGATTCCTGAGCCACCACGGCATCACCAGTGCCAAAATCGGGGTCCTTCGGTGGGAATGGAGCTGGGAACAGCTCCACCATCATGCAGAAGTGAGCTGGGAATGGGGAAAGAGTGGGGGAAATTGAAGAAATTTAATTTCCAGGTGGGGAAAACTCACCCCTACAGAGTCCTTGAGTGACAGGAGGGGTAATTTTTAACCCAAAAGAGGACCCTGCTGGGACCCCCAGATGCTCTGGTCCATGGATTTGCTCCAGCCAGGGAAAAAGAAGCCCAAAAATCCTTCTGTAAAATGCAGAGGCTCTCGGTGTATGCTGGGGATGGAAAGGGGAGGGAATTCCCTGCCCCATCCCGCGGCCGCGGAGCTGCTCTGCCTGCCGCTCATCCCGGCACGGAGCAGATTTGGGAAATGTCGCGTTCCTGCTGTGGCAGGAACAGCCTCCCCCTGCTTGTTCCTCCGTGCCTCTGTTTCCCCACCTGGAAACGGGCAGGGGGCACAAAGAGACGGGTGGGAATCCCGCGGATCCCCCCCTTCCTGCTGGTGGAATTTGCTGCTGGTCCAGCTGCGGACGCTGCTGGAGGGGATCCTGAGGAACTGGGGTTGTTTTCCCACCTTCCCAGCGGCTTTCCCTGCTGCAGCTCTGCCCGGGGGAAAGGCAGGAGCGATGCTGTGGGATGAAGGAGTGAAACCACCAGGAGTCCCCTCTCTTTGGAGCATCCAGCAGCTCCTGGAACCCCCCAGCTCCTTGGAAACAGCGTCCCTGCTGTCCCGGGGGCGGCTGCGGGCACAGGAGCGACGTCCCCGCTCCACGTCACTCCGCAGGACCTTGGGTGACCCCGGCCAGGCGAGAGGCCGGGATCACCCAGGGCTGGAGCCGGATTTCCCAATCCCAACCCCGAGGGGGAATTTCCCTGGGCTCATCCCGAACCCAGCGCGGCCGCGAGCGCTGCTGCCCCCAGCCCTGGCAGGTTCCGAGCCGGTCTCCAAGGAGCGAGAGGGCGGCTGTTCCCCCCTGGAATGGGATCCTTGACGTCAGCCGGGCTGGCGACGGCACCGGCCCTGCCTGGAGACCGGGAAAGGCGGTGGAAAATCCAGGAGGGGAAGTTCATTCATTCATCTGGCACCCGGTGAGCCATGGGGAATGCCCATCCCATCCCATCCCATCCCATCCCATCCCATCCCATCCCAGCTGGATCAGCACATCCTTCATCCTTCATGCCATGAAGTGAGAGGTTGTCCTGCACTCCTAAAAATCCTTTTCCATGACAATAAACACAACCAGAGCTGTTCCCTCCAAGGGGCTCGTTATTCCAGAGGCACCTGGAGCAGCCTGGGGCTGGGGAATTCCTTGCACGATTCTATTTTCTCTCTCAGGGATCTCCCAAGGTCGTGTTGGGCTTGTGAGATGTCTCTGACTCTGTTCATCCTTTATTTTGGGAGATGCTAAATGGTCCCTGGGGATTTTGCTGGGAATACAGGAGCCAAAATGTCTCCATCCAGCATCCTGGGAGGATCCAGCTCTGGGAGAAGTGCACTGTGCTCACCCATGGTACGAGACACCAGAGAATCCATTCAGGCACTGAAAATCATAAAATCATTGAATGGTTTGGGTGGGAAGGAGATTAAAGCTCACCCAGTTCCACCCCATGGGCAGGGACACCTGCCACTATCCCAGGTTGCTCCATGCCCCATCCAACCTGGCCTTGGACATTTGCAGGGATCAGGGGCAGCCACAGCTGCTCTGGGCAAATCCCAGTGCTGGAACAGCATTTCCAGAGCCTGTGCAAGTTTGGGAATGGCCACAGCTCTTTCCTCAGAGCCTCTTCCCATCCTCACCACACAGCAGCCAAAAGTATCCTGGGAGAGTTCCCTGTTCCTGGCAGGAGCAGGGCAGCCCAGGGAGAGAGAAATGTTGATCCTGGGGTTATCCTGGGAGCCATCCACTGGTTCCTGGGAGCCCAGACCCACATTTTGACATTGGGATGGGGTTTAACCCCACAGACAGATTGATGCTGTGGGACAGTCAGGAATATCATCCAGCTCTGAGCAAATTTTCCTTCTGCTGTTCCCAAATTCCACCGAACACAGCACCTCCTATCCATATTTCCATCTCAACCCCAAATTTAGAGCCATAAAGCCCAACTGCCACACTTGGAAAGGGATAAAAACCCACAGCCCAGGCAGGACTGAGGGATGGACACTCAGCTCCTTCTGGATGCCACCCCATAGGAAGCAGACCAGTGCCAATTCCCACTCCAGGTGTTTTATCCCAGCTGCTGCCTTGGTTCCTACTGGAACCTGTCCCAAGGCATAAGCAAGACCCAAAAAGCCTCCCAGCTGCAAGGGTTGCCCCTGGAACCAGGCTGCAGCCGTGGTACCCATCCCAAAAATGCTGCACAGCAGGAGGCAGGAGGATAGGAGCTCACATCTACCTGAAGGTGGCTTAAAACAAAAACAAAACAAAACAAAACAAAACAAAAAAATAAAAAAAGGGAAAAACTTGTATTAATACAGCAAAATCAATGTTTAGCCTACGAAGATTAGCCAAAAAAAAAACATGGATTCTCCTGTTTTATTCCAGGCTCATGCTGACACAAGGGCTGGGCACTGTCTCCAGTGCCATATCCCAGATCACTACTCCCTTTGCCATGGCACTGCCTGGCCCGGCTCTGCTGCCACCAGATGGGAAGGGAAGAGACACTGAGTGAGGCCTCGGAGTCTGTGTCACGTCCTTGGGACGTGGTGGTGGCAGCAGGGACTCAGGGACACAGAGACTCAGGGACTTGGGGACTCAGGGCCAAGCTCTGCTCCTGCTGACGCTGGTGGCAACCAGGACAATGCCAAGAGCCAGCCCAGAGCTGGCATGGGGAATCTGGCCCTGGATTCACTCCCCTTGTGGGAACCACCCTGGGTTTGAGGTGAAAAACAACCAGAGAGTGTCAGCAGGGATGTGCTTGGCTGGAACATCCCAAGCTCCTGGTTTGGGGGTGTTTTAGGGATGGCAGTGCCAGGGCTCCCTGTGGCTGGCATTGAGTGATCCATAGGGGCTGGAGAGGTGCTTCCCTGTGAGCATTTGTAGGATAACATCCCCCTGACCACCTCTAGACCTTTCATCCAGCCCCAGCTGGGCTGCCCCCGTGGCACTGGGATGCTGGGAAGGAGCATCCCACCAGGATGGCTCCACCACACTCCCCTGCTCCCCTCCATGTCTACAGGACACAGATAGGGAATCCTCAGTGCTGACCTCATGAGGCCAATCACTCCATGTGGGTGAGCTCCTGGAGTCCTGCACCTCCTGGCAGGTTCTCCTGGGGTTTTGAAGCTTGCCTGAATCCCAAAAAGTCTCCAGCACACCCCAAAACCACTGTTATCCCTCTCCTGAGGTTGCTCCAGGACCAACAGCTCCCAGCCCTTCACAAAGAGAGTTGGGATGAGGCAGGGCTTGGATCAAGGGGAGGTGACAGCAGGATGGGAGGGGGGATGAGCACAAGTTGGGATGCAGAGCTGGGAGCTGCACCCCAAACCTGGGGTCTCCCCACGAGTGGCACAGCAGTGACGTGGTGATGCCCCAACCATTCCCCCAGCGCTCAGGAACTTGGGGGGCAAAAGCAGCAGGACAGGGTGTTCCAGTCATAGTCGAGAGCCAACAGCTGCCCCACAGAGGGGCTGCAGCACCAGCTGAAAGGCCTGGGTGGGATCAGGCTCTGAAACCCCCCACCCACAGCCCCAGCTCCACGCCAGCCGCCCCCACAGCACCAGCAGAGCCTCGCTGGCATCTCCCCAGGGTCACGGCCTCGCTTCTCCTCGCTCTGTGCCAGCTGCAGGGATCCCACTCAGCCCTGGGAATCCCTGGCTGTTCCCTGCCCATCCCAGCCCACCGACCTCCTGCTAAGCCACAAATTCACCCTAGCGGGGGCTCAGTGTGCTCCAAGGAGAGCCTCATCCCCTGGGAGGCAGGAGTGGGGAGGGGAGAAGGCAGCCGGGCTGGGGGCTGCTGCTGGGAGGGAGGGGTGCAGGTGGGCCAGGGGGATGCAGCCAGCTGGGACAGCTGGAGCCTGCTGGAAGGGATGCAGGTGGGCTGAGGGGATGCTGCCTAGTGGAAGGGATGCAGCCAGGCCCGTGGGATGCAGCCTGCCACAAGGAATGCAGGTGGGCCGAAGGGATGCAGCCAGGCTGGGGGGATGGAGGCAGGCAGCAGGGGTGCAGGTGGGCCGATGGGATGCAGGAAGGTGGAAGGGATGCAACCCGCTGGAGCAGGAGCCTGGAGGAAGGCCGGGGGATGCAGGAAGGGGGAAGGGATGCAGGTGGGCCGGGAGATGCAGGTGGGCCGGGGGATGCAGGTGGGCCGGGAGATCCAGGTGGGCCGGGGGATGCCGCCTGCCGGGCGGTGGAAGCCGGGGGCGGGACGCGGCCGGGCCGGGGGATGCCGGGGGATACCGGGAGGATACCGGGGGGCTGCGGCCGGGGCCGGGCGTCCCCGGTGGGTCCCGGCAGCAGGGTTCGGTGGTCCCGGACCCACCTCGGGGCCACCTGCAGAGCGCGCAGCCTCACTCGGGCGAACCGCAGCGCCGCGGGGGAACCCGCCGCGGCCCGGGGGGGAGACTGATGGGGGGTGTTGATGTTGGGGGGGTCGGCGGGCCCGTACCTCCAGGGTGCGGATCTCCTTCTGCGTGAGGTCGTTGGAGGCGGCGCACTTGGTGCGGAGCCCCTCCAGGTTGGAGATGCTGATGTCGATCATGTTCTGGACCAGCTCGCACTGCTGCAGCGCCTTCTGCAGACTCAGCTCCTGCTCCTCGCTCCTCGTCATGTTGTCCTCATCCATCGCTCGCCGCCCCCCCCCACACCCCCGGCCCGGCACCCCCGGCCCCGGCAGCCCCGCGGCATCCGCATCGCCCCCACACCCACACATCAGCATCCTCATCATCACCCCCACATCATCTTCAGCACCCCCTCAACCTTATCAACAACCCCATCGTCATCAACACACCCCCAACCTTACCAACATCCCTTCAGCCTCATCACCCCCACACCCACACCTCCCCATCCTCATCATCACCCCCCCGTTGAATGTTCATCAACATTCCCCCAACCCCATCACCCCCATCCCCATCACCTTCCCACATCCCCATCCCCCCTCACCCACACCTCCATCCTCATCAACACCCCCCTACTTTATCAACACCTCCATCCTCATCCCCATCACCTTCCCATCTTCATCATCATCCCCATCCTCATCACCCCAGCCCCCTCCCAGCCCCCAGGCCCAGCACTTTCCCACCATCCCCATTCACCCCCACCCCCACATCTCCTCATCCTCATCCTCACCCCCCATTCTCATCAGCACCCATCCCTATCCCCACCCAAACCCCCACATCTCTCCATCCTCATCACCACCCCCATTCCCATCCCCATCCCCCATTCCCACACCTCCCCATCCTCATAAGAATTCTCCCATTCCCATCCCATCCCCCTC